AATCTAAATATGTTCGCCAATCTGGGAGTGCAAGTGCACCCAAGCGCTGGTAAAATGGTATGCCTTTTGAAAGTTTCCAACATTTCCGAGTGGTTTCGCACTCCTGTCATGCACTGCTGCCTATCGTCTGGTTGTTAGTGGGTTAAATGTTGGAAAGGGGTTTAATCCTCCTGAGCTGCATGTAGACTATCCATTCAAATCGATTTTGTCAATACAAGGAGATTTTCTATTCAGGTAAAGCAAAAATAGGAATAAACATTAAGAACTAAAATAAAACGATGGAAACCCTTGGTCTTTGCAAGTCACTTATAAAATAATTTGCATTTTAGATTAAATGTTTTTTTTCACTTTAGTGAGTTTATGTCAAGAATACAAATGACCTGACCCAACTCAGTCGGACGTATCCCAGGTGAACTGACCCTAGAAATCGCATTAGGATAACAAGAAGACCTTTGCTTGAAAAACCCAACTTTAAATTCCTTCGTGGAAGAAGTGTAGTAATCATAGTTTACAGTTGTGGGAATGACTTTTTGAATAAGTTAAGCAACTTTAGTATGATTAATATTAATGGCTATGGCCCTGACAGGCTGCAATGAAGACGACTCACTCTCAAGTAGCCGTTGCCATAAAAAGGAAACTTTCACCGCCATTACGCCTAATGAACCACAGAGCCCCAGATGGAAAGACAATGCCCCCAAATTGCAATGCGACAGAGAGATGGCCACATAAAAACTGCAACAGAATTTCCCATTTTCACAGATCCTTTTTATGGGTTTTATTATGGGATAAGGGCCATATTCTCCGACCACCATGTGGCCTTTATTTGAAATGACTTACAACGTCGATGGCTTCGTTTGCGGCCCACATGCCCCAGATAGACGGACGTTGATAAAAAAAACTCAAGGAAAAGACGGAGAAATTTATATCGATGTTATGAAATTTCGCAACTTGTCACAGTTTCAAAGTTAAACCAAATTACATTATTCACTTGGGTAAAATACACGAAATTGTTTTGAGACCAACACTGGGCTTAAACCAGACAAAAGGGCAGCAGGGCGTCCAAGGTGGAGTTTTGTTTTGTAATAAAAGTTTCATCAAGAAATTTCATATTCCTTTGTATTCCCTTTCCAGTTAATATTGAAAAGTTTTTAAATAAAATAAACGTATGTTTCTTTAAACGATTTTTAGATATTTTTCAAAAAATGATTTTTTCAAATTATACATTATAATTTTGACATTTTAAGATAGTGTATTTAATGCCTCGCTTTAACACACATGTTTCATAGCCTCATAGTTTGATTTATCCCTTCGGTTTCTCTGGCTGTTGTTTGCTTATTGATAACTTTTCTGAAAACTGAGTTTCAGTAAACATTTTGATTTTCACTCCCCGAGGATGCAACACCACTATATTCGCATATTGTTTGGTTTTGGGAAAAAAAAAGTTTTAAAGTTTGCCTGGCAGCAACCAGAACTTGATTGATGGTGTCGGAAATTTTCATTTTGACTTTTCACTTGATTAATATAAATGGCTGTTGGGAATCGAGAACGGAATGCAGTCCTTTAGCCAGTAAGAGGCTTGTCAATTAATAACCCGAGATGCGATATCGATGCCCAATATGCCATCGTTTCCGTACAAAAAGTGTGAAAGCTTTCAACGGAAACGAACAATTTGCCAAGGGCAAGTTGAGACGCGACTGCTATCCGACGCTTTAAGTGACTGCAGCAGCGAAATCTAATAAAAAATTTGCCACTTTCTCTCCGCAGCTTTCCCGCTTGGCGAAAGTTTCGCAGTGTTTTCGGTTTCTGTCTTTTTTTTTTTCGTCCTTTTTTTTCGCTGACATTTTTTTGGTTTGTGCCAGGATGTCGTTGTCATAAGGAAACTAAGGATTTCCGTTTTGGCTTTGGTCCGTAAGCTTAGCATCAGCTTTATAAAAATTTCAGTGGATGTTGTGGACACACACACCATGGCACCCTCACAAACGAAGAGCAAGAAATGAGTGGAGAAAAATTATGTAAAAAGTTTTTTCGTGCACGTTTAGCCACGCCCCCTGGTTATTAGTTGGTCACAGCTGCTTGCCCAGAAGGCTTTTTCCAAAAGCATCCAGTCCGAAACACGTTTCAGTTGAGACTCTGCAGGGCAACCATTTTTCATTAAGTTTTCGCGCCATATTGCCCTTCATAAGTTATATACAAGAAATAAATTTTATTAGTGTCTTGGCAATTGTCTGTCTCAAAAGAAATGATATAAATTTCGAGTCATAAATTATGCGGCAACGGCGCAATGAACTGGGAAAGTGGCTTTGACGGGAACCAGTCGCATTACTTAATCCAGTCTGTGGAATCCCGGGGCCTCGAGGACCTTTATCAACGCAGCACAGCGGTTCGTCAGTAGCACAACATTCTTTATTTGACAGGCCACACAGATAGGGGGAGTGGGATAGTGGAGTTGTCAGATTTGCATACCCGGCGTATACGTAACGTGCCCAAATATCGCACATGGCACATATATACATACATTCGGGCGTCTAGAGAGCTAATAAAACTTATTGTCAGCCACAGTCTGACCCACTTTTTCATTTCATTTTGTTGCTTGGTTTCTGTTTGGATGTTTTTCTGTTTGTGTTCGCAAAATTCCATTGTTCGTTCAGAATAATTTGAATTTTAGAATAATGAAGTCACAAAATGTCAGTGCGCGTTATCAAAATCATTTATATGCACAACAACAACTTTTCGGCCATGGAGGTCGGTCGGTCGACACTACTCCCATGTGCCAACTGCCAGTTGCCATATTTTCTGGGTGTGTGCGGCACAACATTTTAAATCGCTTACAATGCCTCAAACTGTATAGCGAAGACCGACAGAGCCAACAGATAGTTGCCAGCCCAACTGGGAGTACCAAAAAAAACATTTATCCTGGATGGCTGGAGTGTGAGTGTTTTGTGTGAACATAGTGTGTTGGTTGTGAGTGTGTGGCAGAAATAAATGAATTATTGTTCTTGGTGTTGAAAAAGTTTTTGTGCAGCATGTGGGAGCTGTTAATGGAACTCGGCCAGGGAGAAAACCCTTAAATACTTAATCACCAAATTGAAACAATCAGAGACAGGAAATTGCAATTTTTACATTTTTTACTATACGTCAGAGTTATACATAATACTATTTTTATATTTAATTGGCAAACTTTCATAACTTTTGTCGTAAAAACTCGCATTAAAAAACTATTGCCTACTTATGTGAGCATGGTATAATGTTCTGCCATTACGACCATAATACGGTGAAAAACCAACATACATTAATTATTACGATGATCAAATAAAACTAGATACCGTTCCAAAGAAAGGACAAAGAAACTACTCACTCGACAAAAAATGACAGCCAACTTGCCGCAAAGACAACGGCTAATGAGGACGAGATAAAGCAAACGCGAGCATGCCTGGGAGTTGGTTGAAAGGCAAGGCAAAGGATAACGTTGGTGGTTTCCTCGGGTCTAGTCAAATACGAAAACCGGCAAGAACTAAAATGGGCTCGTGGCAAGACTAAGCGTCTTAGTGGCCCATAAGGGAAGGGGTAATCAGAGGACTCTTTCCCAAAAGCCGAAATCAAAACAAAGAAGACTAAAGCAGATGGCAAAAAACTCAATTGCCGCACAAACTGAGCCGCCATTGTTTTCTTAATTGAGTGCCTCTATATGGTAGGGGGCTGGGGCAAGGGGGAAGGATATTTTGGTATGCCAGTGTGTGCCAGTATGTTTGCTTAAAGTCTTTGAATTTACGTGTGTGGAAGAAGGACTCCAGTCATTGCCGCCTATCTGCCGCCTTATCAATTACATTGAATTTACCCAGGCAAGCACCCTGGGCAGGACTACTTACTAACTCCCTTCCACAACCATTTGTCGTACCAATCAATGGCTGCCGGAAATGATGGCCTAGGCAGTCACTTCGACTTTTATCCTTGCTTCCACTCTTCCGCTTCCGCTTGCCACGATTGGCGCTGATTTCACAACTCGCCCCACGGAAATTGCCAGCCCCCCTTTATGGCTTTATTACACCCAGCCCCCTTCCACTTCTCTGGACCTCTGGACGGGTGCACTTGAGGTCTCCGAACATTTTATTATGTATTTGCATTGACTTTTCCCTTACACTCCAGACCACCATCGCCTCCAAATTTCCATCCGCTCCAGTCGTGAACTGCTGATTTATTCCGTTCACGTAACACTCACTGCACACTTTGATTGCCGCCGCATTGCCATGTAAATCCCGGCTCCTAAAAAGTCACCCAATCCACCAAATCTGGCCCACGTCAACACGCATAATCGAGCTTTTAATTTCGGCCAATAAAACTTTGTCGATTTAATACAAGTTACGTGGCAGCTTTGCTCAAGATATAAAAAAATGGAGTCCTGCGTTTGACAGACACCTTTCCTTCCTCAATCAAATGCAGTCTTAAAGACTACTTGGCTCGGAAAAGCCATCAAGTTTTAAGTTACCTTTATAAAATACGGATACTAAAATTTCATGTCTAGTGATCCATCATCGATTTTGATGCCTCAGAAAGTTGCGCCTTTAAAATACAAGTTTTTCTTCATTAAACATCATGATACCCGAGCACAAACCTCAGAAAAGTTCGTTGCACGAGTATCTCAAACTTGTTCGCCAAGTTTACGCATAATTTTTTACGATATTTTTCCGCAGTTTTGCCTTCGGGTAGCCCACCGCTGTTATTGTTGTCTAGGAGGACTTTCTTGGCATCCGAGGATCTTTAATAGATTTCCGGGCAAACAATTTTATTCAATTCCTTATATTGGATTGGCTTTTATTAATATCGTTTGCCTAAGCTGTAGATATTAAGACTGGGACAACTTTTTGTTAACTTTTTCATCTTGGGCATATTAAATGAATTTGTTGCCACAATTTATGATAATCTAAGGCGGCAGGATTTCCACTTATATTAAACTGAGTAGGCTATACTGACTTTAACGAAGAAACGTCATAAATCGAAGTGAAAAGTATTATTCAACTTTTATCAGAGCTTAGACAAACTTCTAACGTGAATTTAGAAAAAAATATATTTTATAATTATACAAAATGTCGACCGACAAGGATTCATCGGAGGACATATCAGACGACGGTGAGGAGTATGTGGTCGATAAGGTAGTCGGTAGGAGAATCAACTTGCAAGACCAGCTGGAGTACCGAGTTCACTGGGAGAACTTTCCTGATAAGGACAACACCTGGGAAAGGGCTTCCAATTTAAATTGTGAAGCGCTTATAAATGCCTTTGAAAGAAAACGCAGTCTGCAGATCGGACAGCAGCTGAATGCCTATTACAAAAACAAGGCCAAGCGACTCAAGCTCGACCCACAGCTGGTTACAGACAATCCCTTCAATTTGGACTTTAAAGCCCAATACATAGTTCAGGGTTTCAATGACCACGGAGAAATATCATTCCTGATCAAGTTCAAGGATATGGACGAGTTGCAAATAGTTTCGGCAGAAATAGCTTATTCGGAAATCCCTCAAATGGTTTTACGTTTCTACGAAAAGCATTGCAATTTTCCAAGCCCCAGAGGCCAAGTACCTGAGACAGATGAAGATGATACCATAATTGATCTTACAGGAAACAATAATCTTCATAATTTTTACAGTTAATTATAAATTTAATCAGTTAAATGTATTACACGAACATAGAAACACCATTAAATTGTGCAACTTTGGGAAACATTACATATATTAATGAAGGCAAAATGCCAAGTTTTAAGTGATTTTGGGGGCGTGTTTGTCCGGGGCGCAGTGTAAACACACCTAATTGCAACAACAACGCCGGCCAGGAGGAGTGTACGACAGCCAAAATGAAGACAAAATATTTGCATTCCGTTTTTCCGGGTATTCTCTTGCCACAGTTGAAGGGGCGTGGCCGGACGGACTTGGCCCCATATTCGTGTTTGTTTTTCGCCATTTGGGCTTTTGCTGTTACTTCCAGCAGGCACGTAGCCTCAAAAACAACAAAAGGACCTTGTTTATGCCTTTTTGCAGCCTAACTGAGAATTGATACTGCAATATCCTGGCAGTATTCTACACTTGAGAATTTTTTGTTTAGCCTAGTTTGTTTTTTTTTTGTTAAAAACCAATGAATCGTTTATGTTTTTGTTCGAAATAACAAAAACTAAGAAATTAATTTGGTGGCTAGGCGCGGGGACGCCTCTATCTCTCACATTTCGCTTGTATTCAACTTCCTTTTTTGTTCTCCATGAGGTCAAGGGTTAAATATACACTGTCATGCATACATGCAGTCAGTATTTGTTAACGAGCCTGAACCGACCCCCTTAAACAATAGACCTCCATTGTGTGGATGGTTTGCCAGGCCCTTCCCTTCAAGGCGAGGGCAAGATGTAGATTATGTGTGTGAATGAGGGGTTTTTGCTTCTCTGGAACTTATTATTGAAATTATGAATTATGCATTCAACGCGCCGGCCACCCAAAACGGGTGGCCCAACTAATTTGAATATAAATTTAACTCATAAATATATATAAGAAGACGAGGCCCGGCAGACGGCGCCAGGACGAGTAACTTGTTTTCGGTAGTCCAGGACCTCACCATCCCAACAAACATGAAACATAAAGTAAATAATCAACAAAAACACCAACTACTTGGCCGAAACAAGACGACATCAGGTCAAGCAGTCAAGACAACAACCGCAAAAACAACGCCGGCAACTGTGGCGAAAGCACTTCAACTTTTATGGCCAAGATCCAAGGAGTCGGAGTCGAGTCGAGTGGAGAGGTCCAAGGTACGGCCAAAGTACAGAATTTATGCCGCTGGTTAATATTTAAACAAAAGTTTCTTGTCTTTTTTTTCTTCGCTTTCGGTGTTGCAACATATTTTTCTTTTCCTGACCACTTTTCGGGTTCTGGCCACTGGAGGACATGGCACAAACAGCATCATTATCATTATCATCATCGTCAACAACATCAGCAGCACCATCTCGGCATTCCTGGGGCTCTTTACTTTTGCGGCTTGGCATAAATTATGAGGCTAATTAAGTGTCTGTGAAGCTGTTAATAACAAAATGAATGGCAATTATCAGAAAGGCGCCAAAAAGGAAAGATGAAAGCTAAATAGAAATACTTGAGACATGGCGGGTAAAACGCTGTCAAGTATTGTCTGCCTTTGTGTGTTTTTCCTCATCATTTTCAGCTACATTGCCCAGGCCTTCAGATAGCTGGCCCTTCCCTTGGTTATTGGTTGTGACATTTGGGCAGCGTTTCGGAGAAAAAGGATGGATCAAAAATCGATTTTTTTCCATTTCCCAATTAAAATGGAACACAAAATATTCTTTCTTTTTTTTTTGTTACGAGTAGTTCTTCCGCCTCTTTCAATATTCAAATCCTTGAATAAATTAAAATATGAGTTAGGGAATGCATAAATAAACATAGAATACCTTTATTAAACATGCACATTCAATTTTATTCTTTTTTCAAATAACAACAAGTAAATCCTGACATTTTAAATCCTATGTTACTTCATTTTTTGTTGACTTTTCCATAAAAACTGACAATTAATAACCATCTATTTAAAATCACAATAAATATTAATCTACTAATGTGGCTGACTTGGAAAGAAAAAATGCGTAAATATGCCAAATTGTGCTCATAAATAATTATAATGGGATACTATTAAATTAAAATATAATACATTAAATGCGTATTAAAATATGAAATATTTTCCCCTACACTTTGGGGGAATGTTGCCATAAATTTGATATCATTTTGTTGCTGCATTGAGCTGCCAATTGCAATTAAATGCAATTTGTCGGCCGCTTGAAAAAAAAACTCGCTTTTTGTGCAATACTGGGAGCTGAGGAAATCAAATTTAATGGCGTAGTGACAGTGAACAACCCGCAAAAAAGTAAGGATATTTAACTCGTTTTTCCACAACTACTTATGTGGGAAAAAATCGTTTTTCTTATTTCCTTTAATTTCAACTAAAAGTCAGTAAAATGTCGAGTTCAAACGAAACCTGGGAAAAACCGTTTGGGAAACTAAATTATGCCCAAGGGGTGGTAGATGCGACCTGGAGTGGGCGGACCCGTTGAAATGAGCGGGACGTGTTAGCATCGAGCGCCGCAGAAAATAACAATTTATGGGCCTCCGTTTTTGGGGCGAAATCCGGGGAAGATGGGGCTGCAATCGGCAGTCAGTTGGCAGCTGTGCATGGCAAGTAGGTGTTAAATATTTAATGATTACCAAAGCGCAAACAACCAGCCAGCTCTATCTGCTGGGGGATCCAGGACCTGGCTCCAGTCCCTGCTGCCGCTGCAATTCGTTAAGTGCTCCGCACATACAAACACACACAGACTGCCTCACCCACTCTGGCACACACTGGAGGATACTGGAGGAGTGCATACAATATGCCGCAATTTATGCGCACAATTGGGCTGCCACGCCCACAATCAAGGCAAGTACTAAAGGCGGGGACACGTGCCGCTTGTCAGAGATCGTCGACGGGCGATGCAAGGCAAACCGCTCGCCGACCGCAGAACTAATTGAAATTGCCAGCCAGGCGGTTGGCATTAGTTTACCTTGCTCCCCGGATGGGTGCACGATGCATAGAAGGAGGGGGTGGACTCAAAGTAGGAGAAGGAGGATGAGGTAAAGAGACAGTTGCGTGATTTCGCAAAACTGATGTAAGCACTTGAGCCCAACTCCGCAAATTGGAAAACAGTGCGTATACGTAACGAACACTCAAGGAAAATGAGTTCTTAGTTTTCAAAACTTAACAAACTCATTAAGAGAGATGGCACATATCAAAAGCTTAATTCCTATTAAGATTTATATATTTTTTTATTTTCAGCTCTTATACTATTACTTTCCTGAGAGCCAAAAACTATCACAACTGAAGCAGATGATTTACTTGGTTTTTAAAACCTATTTATCTCTATTTTTTGTATTTTTTTCTGAAATGATACTGAAAACAAAAATGTGACAACAGCAGAACTGCCAACGACTTTACTTCGAAAACAATATAAATACATATACTTGGCCAATAAGGAGATAAAACAAACAGAGACACACACACATTCAATATGAGTACAGGCGAAAAACAATAAAATGGAAACATCAACTCAAGAAGTCATCAATGGAGAACGAAAAGGAAGCCAGGCAAGGAGCAGCAGCTATCGCCGTTTGCTCTTGGTTTGCCTTTTTACTTTTCCGGACAATGACAACAATGAGTAGCAATGAACCAAAATGAATGAGTCTATAAATAAATGAATGCAACGTTTCCATTTCAGATCGATTGGAAGGACAATAGTAGATACCAGTAGGGAGCAGGGGAGAAAATGTCAAGAGGAATTATTCAATAATATTAGCGGGGGAATAAAAACAAAATAAATAAACGATAGTTTTGATAAACATTTTATTTGATAGACGATTTAGTTGGGTGTCACTAAAATATAAAAAGTTTATTTGATTTATGGAATGTGAGGAATATTTGTTGGACTCGGAGGTAAGACTATAAATCAAAGATTGAAGTTCGAACTTTTTCGATAAAACTTTTCGAGAATATGAAGACTCACCACGCAGTACTTCTCGCTCTTCTTGGTGCACTCCTTCAGGTAGAGATGGGCAATGTCCTTGGTGTAGTTGGTGCATGGCGTAATGGAGCCCACGCCCTCGTTGTACTGGCCGCACATGTGGCACTTGAGGCCGTCGGCGAAACCGAAACTGCCGCTGCACAAGACGATGGCCACCAGGATAGCCATGGCTATGGTGGCGGGACTAGCCCTTAGATTGGAGCATCTAGCCGAAATCGATCCCGAGTCAGTGGCCAAAAAGGCTGATGGATATTTTGACGAGGCCTTGCCTTCGTCGTCTATGGTGACAGCAGCTTTTGTTGACATTGCTTCTTGGTTGGGGCACGACATTTTCATATATGAGTTCTGACCTTTACCACACAGAGTTCGCTTTTACTAACACGGACACACGCGGACACAAAGGTATTGTACTACTGGCACTACTGGCACACTGACGAACTGGCAGAGTGACAAACTGACACAATGACACACTGGCACAGTGACAGGCAGGACGCGTGCACTCACTGAAATTGCAATTTCGCTTTGTTCCTCTCAGTGGAATCGTTCAGTTCCCTTAGTTTTCGGAAGCCTTTGTTTCTGTTGTGGTTATTTGATTAATTCATGTATGTACTCTTTTTCCTTTTTTTTTGGTTTCGTTGATGGATAAGAAACTGCTGCCAAAAGGTCAAAGATGTTTGCTGTGTTTTAAATATGATCTAAAGTATTTTAAACTATTAAGTAACCGAATAGTTTCTTTAGAAACTACTTCAAAAACCCAACCAATTATTAAAATACCATGAAACCAAATCATTGACTTCTGCTACGATCAACACACCTCCTAAGTTGGATAACCCTCTGAACTTTCCAAATAGACAATGCCAAAATTCTTCTTTTTATCTATTTTGGAGTTCATGACACTTTATAAATCACAATGGCTGTCGATGCAGTTAGAACTTTGCTGCATGCACCTTTTGTTTGTGCAGCTTGGCAGTGGGGAGGGGAAGCATAGAAATGCTACAAATGAAATGCTACAAATTGCCAGGAGCTGCCACGCCCTGTTTTCAGGCCGGGAGCTGAGCCATAAGCATGTAGGCCACGACCGCACAGGGCCACACGTTTCTCTCGAAACTCGAAAAATTGTTTTCAAATTGTTTTTGTTGTTAGTTAAATGCGCGAGTGTAAGTGTTCTACAGAGTGTGTGTGTGTGGGTGTGGGTGTGCGAGGGTGGCTAAAAGGATTGTGGGGTAAGGGGATGTTCGGAAAAGTTCTTTTCTATGCGTTCAGCATTGAGTGTTTCCACGAATTTTTCCGAAAATACTTTGAGGAACGGCAAGAGCCACCCTAAATCGTATTACGAGCTCTCATTGTGTATTTTGGCTGCCTACTTTTGGCCTTTGATTTGATTTTCCAAAATATGTATGATGCGTGAATGCCAGGATTGCAGGATGCCACAATATTTTCAGTTTTTTCTTGTAGTCCAAACTTTTTATTGCTCGAATTTTAAGCCCAAGAATCGCTCGTTCGCAATGATGCCCTGGCACCCTGGCAGCAGCCAATTAACGAGTCATTTCTGCTCTAGATTTTTTTGCTCTATTTTGTTCTGTATTTTAATTAAATGAATGAATGCAACGAATTCTGCCCATCATAATAGGCGACCTTCCGCAGTCGGCAGGGGCAAATGAAATATGATTTTCTCATTTCAACAATTTCAATGGCAAATGCAACCAAACTAGATCAAGATCTTTGAAAATAAACTTAGTAACCCAACAATAGAGTATAGCTTTTCTTTCTAAATCGTTAACACAAATGTCTCTTTTCAATTTTTATTTAATTTACTAAATTTTGATTTTTTATTTGAGTTCTTTTGTTCACTCTCTGAATTCTGATCACAAAAACAACGTTTGCCTCACATTTTGAATTAATTATTACTGACTTCGCTAAGTCCGCCCAACCGTGCGTTTCGTCTGAGTTGAAAATTCTGACTGCAGTGCCACAACCAGCAGCAGCACCATCAGCAAGAAGCAGAGCAGCCGTGGCAGCAGCAGCCGACGGGTCGGATGCTTGATATCGGCTAGCCTTCGTCGGATGCTTCATGTCGGCTTGCCTTCGTATTGGTCCACTTCACCAGTGCTTCTCAAACTGCACTCTTTCCCACAGTTCTGCTGTCTGGTTTTTGCTAGATTGTTTTCGAACATTTTACAATATTCTTTTAATTTTACTGGTAAAAGTAATATTGAAAAAATAAAAACAAATTATTGATAAAATCATTCGCACCTGGTCACGTTATTTAACTTACAAACAGGGAATTTATTGAAAAAAAATTTTAAAAATAATTGTTTCCAAGACTACTATGCAAATTAATGGCAAATCGATCTACAAATCGTTTAAGGTATTCCTCTCAAGAATCGGATGATTATTGACTAAGAAGATACAGCCATCGCTGTAAGCCATATTGTCCTCCCTAGGCATTTTCAAAATTTCGAAGGGGATCCTGTGGAAATTTTGACAAAAAATCTAAAAATATTTTCGTTCCAGGATTTTGATGCAGATTGATCAAGAATCGATCTACAAATCGTTTAAGGTATTCCACTCAAGAATCGGATGATTATTGACTAAGATACAGCCATCGCTGTGGGCCATATTGGCCTCCCCAAGCATTTTCCAAATTTCGAAGGGGATCCTGTGGAAATTTTGACAAAAAATATAAAAATATTTTCGTTCCAGGGTTTTGATGCAGATTGATCAAGAATCGATTTACAAATCGTTTAAGGTATTCCTCTCAAGAATCGGATGATTATTGACTAAGATACAGCCATCGCTGTGGGCCATATTGGCCTCCCCAGGCATTTTCCAAATTTCGAAGGGGATCCCCTGGAAATTTTGACAAAAAATATAAAAATATTTTCGTTCCAGGATTTTGATGCAGATTGATCAAGAATCGATCTACAAATCGTTTAAGGTATTCCTCTCAAGAATCGGATGATTATTGACTAAGATACAGCCATCGCTGTGGGCCCTATTGTCCTCCCTAGACATTTTTTAAATTTCGAAGGGGATCCTGTGGAAATTTTGACAAAAAATCTAAAAATATTTTCGTTCCAGGGTTTTGATGCAGATTGATCAAGAATCGATTTACAAATCGTTTAAGGTATTCCTCTCAAGAATCGGATGATTATTGACTAAGATACAGCCATTGCTGTGGGCCATATTGGCCTCTCCAGGCATTTTCCAAATTTCGAAGGGGATCCCCTGGAAATTTTGACAAGAAATCTAAAAATATTTTCGTTCCAGGATTTTGATGCAGATTGATCAAGAATCGACCTACAAATCGTTTAAGGTATTCCTCTCAAGAATCGGATGATTAATGGCTGACATACAGCCATCGCTGTGGGCCATATTGGCCTCCCCAAGCATTTTCCAAATTTCGAAGGGGATCCCCTGGAAATTTTGACAAAAAATCTAAAAATATTTTCGTTCCAGGATTTTGATGCAGATTGATCAAGAATCGATCTACAAATCGTTTAAGGTATTCCTCTCAAGAATCGGATGATTATTGACTAAGATACAGCCATCGCTGTGGGAAATGTTGTCCTCCCCATGTTGTCCTTCCCATGCAATTTTTAAGAATCTCAAAAATTTCGCTTTTTTCCCCCTTTTTCAAGTCAAATGCTAAAATTTACAACTAGAAATGATAATTTATTTAATTTATTGGTGAGCAACTCTTTCTTTATTTCGCTGCAGATAATTAGCTTATCGGCCCCCACGAACCGCAAGGGACTGAGAATAAAATTATTTATAATGCGGTTCGAAAAGATATGCCTTTTCGATTTATTGAGCAATTTCTTTTTTGTGACTCAGTCTATACGATTTGATTGTTTCTGATCCAGTCAACGTACTGGCTAACCTTACAGTAGACCCCCGGATAGGGAGCCACCCCGCAGGGCTTGACACTCCAGGACACGATTCCCACCTGCTCTCCGTTGTACATGAGGGGACCACCAGAATCACCGCTGCACTGGCCCTTTCCGCCCTCATCCACGCCGCCGCAGATGTGGTATTTGGGATCCGTATTTCCATTATGCCGCATGGTGCACTCCTCGTCCGAATAAATCTTCAGAAACACCTCCTGCAGAGTGTCCTGCACTCTGCCACCGGTCTGAGGATATCAGAGGTGCATTAGCATTCCATTAACATAAAAAAAATAAATTAATCAAACAAACCTCATTGAGACCCCAGCCAACGAGTACTCCCTCTACTCCAGCATCCAACTGGGGTGTGGCGAAGGACACCGTTGGCAACTTAACAGGAGCCACTCTACTTCCATCAAACACAAAAGGCACCTCCACCCGCAGCAGGGCTATATCGTTGGCATTTTGGTGGTCAGGATCGAAGGCCTCGTGTTGAATAATTTTTATGATGCGCACCACATTTGGACCATAGATGCTGATATCGGTCACTCCGAACTGTACGGATAGAGTATCCGCACTGCGACCATTTGTACAATGGGCGGCTGTCATCACAAAGTAATCTGTAATAATGGATCCACCGCAGGAATGGGCTCCATCATAGCTTCGAATGGATACCTGCAGGTATGGGGTTAAGTAATCCAGCACGAACTATGCTAAATTGTAAGTCCCCTTACCACAAAAGGATATTTCAGGACACTAGAGTCGGTTCCATTGACTACTCTTCCCTGTAGAGAGGCCGCTTGGCCCAAAGCAGCGATAACCAGGCCAACCAGTACCGCCAAGTAAAGATCTTGATTCTGCAACATATTTTTTAAATAAACTTGGTCCCCCGGGGTTTCTACCGCTTTTATATGCCTTCAGACCGTAACGATACTGTCCGATTAGGATTATTTACGATTCCAGATAGGTGAGGATTAAATCTGGCGTCATTGATATAATGAAGCACTTGTCTGGCTTTCATTAAACAATTTAAATAAAATCAGCAAATGCGAATATTGGTATAAAAATATTTTTTTTTTTCCCAGTAGACCTACGCTTGTGCTTCTTATCTTTCAGGGTGATTGAACATTATTTATTATTTTATCGGAGACTAACCCAATTTTTAAGTGAAAATAAAATAAATTAAATGATTATATGTTTGGTTTTGATGGGGATTTTATAATTAGAACTATCCCTATATTGTTAGAGGTTTCTATTAAAAGCTTATTATAAGAATTAAATCTTTTTAATCTTCCTCTCTATTTCTGTGATGTTTTTTTTCTAAAAAGCTTGGTTTTCCACAAAGAAAATAATTTATAACCCACACATGCCAATTGAGTTTAATCACACCATTTTAAAAATGCCAATTTATCAATTTAATTTATTGCATTTAACTGATTTTTTAAATCGTCAAAGATAATTCCATGACTAAGCCAAAATAATCAGGTTCTTCTTGATCCAGTCAACGTACTGGCTGACCTTGCAATAGACACCCGGATAGGGAGCCACGGTGCAGGGCTTCACACTCCAGGACACGATGCCCACCTGCTGGCCATTGTAGATAAGCGGACCGCCGGAGTCACCGCTGCACTGACCCTTGCCGCCCTCATCCACTCCGCCGCAAATGTGGTACCTAGGATCGGTCTTTCCATTGTGGCGGGTGGTGCATTCCTCATCCGAGTAGACCTTCAGATCGACCTGCTGCAATGTGTTCTGAATGTACCCACCAGTCTGAAAAAGTATAATTTCTGTTAGTTTCTCCACTAGTATACATTTTTAAGAAATAGCTCACCTCATTGAGACCCCATCCAATAAGAACACCATCACCACCGGCATCGGTTTGGGGCGTGGCAAAAGACAACTCGGGCAACTTGACGGCGGCCACAGTCTTACCGTCAATGGGGAAGGGCTCCTCCACCAACAGCAGGGAGATGTCGTTGGCATAGTTGTTGTTGGGATTGTAGTCCTCATGCTGGATGATCTTCTTCACTTTCACAACATTGGGACCAGTAGCGTTTATGGTGGTCACACCATATTGAATGGATAGCGACGCCGCGGAGCGTCCGGCAGTGCAGTGGGCAGCAGTCATAGCAAACTGCTTAGAAATGATGGAACCTCCGCAGGAATGCGAGCCGGTGGAACCTCGCAGAGAAATCTAGTAATTTAAATCCATTATTTGAGTGTCTCCTGATCCCTCTTTGATTCTGTGAAGCCTTCTTACCACAAAAGGATACTTTTCCACGCTGGAATCCGTACCGTTTACCACGCGGCCATTGGGCGAAGGAGCTGCTTGGGAAAGCCCAACCACGGCTAGGAGGGCGAATCCCGCAAGGCAAAGTTCTTGATTCTTCAACATCTTTTGGCGAAACCTGCGTGTTCATTGACGGGTGGCAGCTTTTATAAGTTTCCTGACATTGCCGATAGAGCTAGATTACGATTATTTACGGCAAACGATAATACCTGATTATACCTGTTAGATTACATGAGAGCGCCACTATTTCGTTATCACCGCCAATATCAAAAGACTCTTGCTCTTTAAACCATTTTAATCAAATAAAGCACAATCAATACAATCAAATACAAATGTGTCCGACTTGACCAGCCCGGGAATGTGAGAGCTCTCTTTGAGGATTGCTTAAAATAGACAATGATAGGCTTTAAAACTTAACAACGGTTTACAACCACAAACAAGTGGGTCAGTATACATAGGTATAGGTAGAGGTTGGAAGGCCATTGGATTAAGGACATTCACATTAAGGACATACACACGTCTAAATAAATTACAGAGAATAGTGTTCATAGAGCGTTAGAAAAAGCTGTCTTGGTTCTGCTATACATAGAAAGCAATTCTAGTTTAGACATACATATATATTAGTATAAGTATATAAGTTCATAGAAGGCTACATGGCTAAGTCTACAAAAATACTCTAACAAGTGCGCTCCAGGCGCCGAAAATTGCTCTTCGAATTTCAATATTTATAATTTTGGTTGTCTACTGTATACTGCAGCTGCGTACCGTGGACAGTTTATGCTCCTCCTCGTCCATATGCTTGGCATTTAGTATGCTTTTGATGCTCTCAGCCTCCTTCATCCAGAACTCCAACTAAGAAACGAATTCATTGGTTATTTTGAGGTTTCTTATACTTATACCTTCTGCTCACCTGTTGCAGTAATAAATTACGTCGCTCTCCCTTGGGTTCGTTGTTAACAAATGGCACCAAGACACCGAGCGCTGTGGTATACGACTCCAGGGCCGCATCCAGCTTCCGTTCATACAAATACAGTTCCCCCTTCCGTCCGATTTCCAGGCCAGTCTTAAGGGACGGACTTGAGTGCGACAAGGCAACTAAAAAAGCGTAAAAGGAACTTGTTCCTATTAAGTTACCAAAAACAATAGAGATGCTCTTACAAAGCTGCTTGTAACGCGCATCCGGTTCCAGCATTTCGGTCATCCGTGAGCTGCTAGGCTGCGGATCTGTCGGCTGGGCAGCAGCAGGAGCGTCCGCCGCGGCTTTTGTAGATGAAACAGTTGCGGAGGCAGCGTCGCGTTTTTGCCGTTCTGCCAACATTCTATACTCATCCTCGATAATGCAGTTCTTGATCTCCTCGGCGCGCTTCATGTACGTCAAAGCGCGATTACGCAGGGCCTGACGTTTAGTGGCATCCGTCTCCTCCGTGATTAGAGGCACAAAGTACTGCAAGGCACTGCAGTATAGGTAGTAAGCTTCTTTGTAGTTTCGTTTCTCATCGTAGGAGCAGGCTTGGGTAACCAAATCGATAGCCTTCTGCAGGGTATGCTCCGAGGGAAACGTCTTGAGATCAAGAAACGGGTGGGCGAAAAACTCCTCGAAAGAAATACGCTCCGTGGGCTCGTGGGCAAGAAGGCGCTGCAAGAGATCGTGGCACTCGTTGCTAATGCTAGCATTCGGTGGCAGTGTGATGGGTTCGGCAGTGCGGATGCGCAGCAACAGCTCCTCAATAGTCCTGGAGCTGTAGGGCGCTTTTCCGAAAAGACACTCATACAAGATCACACCGATACTCCAAAGATCCGCCTTTGCATCATACTGATGCTTCCGAACAATCTCCGGAGCCATATATAGGGGAGAACCTTTCAGCTGCTGGTTGATCTCACCCAGCTTCAAGTGCTGGGCAAAACTGTGGAAAAAAAGGAATGTTTTACTGAATCTCTTAATGAAATCTAGCAATAGCTACCCAAAATCCGCCACCTTGAGGGAAACATTATTGGCTCCTCGGGTTAGCAACAGGTTCTGTGGCTTTAAATCAAAGTGGGACACATCATTGGCCCTCATATACTGCACGGCCGCTGCCAATTGCCGTAAAAAGTACCGACAAGTGCTCTCCGGCAAAGCCTTTTTTGTTCGTATAAATGCAGAGAGATTACCAGCGTTGCAGTACTCAAGCACGATGTAAATATTCCTGAAAAGGTCAGAAGGTATTAGTCATAGCCTTGCGTGTTATGGAGTACTTTTTATAGATTGCAGATAGTTCTAACTACTTGGGGATTACAAAAAGTAAAGTGGTGGCTACTTTAGAAAACCCTCTATAGAAATTATCCATTCTATATTGTACAAAAACCTATATGCTTTAAAAAATATATACTTCCACATTCCCCTCCAAGGGTATATAATAATTATTACTTGTCGTCCCAAAAGAAGTCCTGAAGAGTCACAATGTACTTGTGTTTCAAGTCTCGGAGGAGGCGGATCTCGGTGATTAGGTTCTCCCGCGAGGTTTGCGATAACGTTGACATTTCCACATATTTGATGGCGTGGAAAGTGCGCTGCTTCTGCAACGATAAAACATAAATATTAGCCTCAACGGGTACATAATATATGCCTGCTGGTGAGTGTCCTACTTTGTGGCGCGCTTTATAGACGGTGGCATAGCTGCCTGCTCCGAGTTTCTCGAGGATTTCAAAGTCTGTGATGCGCGGCAGTGACATGTGCAGGCGGTCATTTAATCCTAGAATGTGTTTTTAAAGCTGAATGTTTGTTTTGCTCATCGGTAGTCGCTGCTTTTATTTTGGTTTTTGGTTGCGCTGTAGGGTTGTTGATAAATATTAATATATCGATATTTCTTGTAGGGAAATGATATATATCGGCATATGAATTATGCTTATCGAAATTAAGATTTTTTGAATATTTGTTGATGTTGTTAGCGACTTTAGGTAAACGATTTTTAGGTTTTTTTTTTATATACTATATATTTTTCTGAGAACAAAATTTAATCTTCCGGTAAAATTTATACCTCATACATTTTAGATACATTTTTTATTACAATGATATTATTATTTAGATGGGTTAGAACCAAGTAGAACCAGTAGCTAGTAATAAATATACAATATATATAAATAAATTTTGACAAATCCAATAATATTTAAAATTCCCGCGCAAGCCAAAATCCAATTGAAAAGTGATGCCCAGCGCCAAACATATATCGATAGAACTTGTTGCACTATTGTTAAGGAATTCCATCTGGTCACATTGAAGCTCGGGTTTGTTTTTGATGCGTTGCGAAGGAATTAATTTTTCGTTTTTTAAAGGTAAATAAATGTAAAGAGCCTTTTTGAGTGGTTATATCTACACTTCAGGAGTGCTATATCAGCCTCGAGTTTTCACAAATTAATTCTAACCGATTTTAAACAGTCGTATTGGCCATTAAAGTTTGTGGTACTTTCAAGCCTAGCTTGACACACCCAAAATAAGAAATTAAGCAAACACGCCCTGGCTCACCATACAATGAATTGAAAAATTAACGCGTTACCATTAACAATAAGCATCCAAACTGTTGTAGTGCTTTGAAGATTCTGCAAGGAGCTAAACATTTTCCGTTCGTGACGTCACTTGCAAGGCTTCAAGATGAATTACGGCAGGAAAACGCCCTCCACATATCGCTCCAATCCGTCGGTATACTCCCATGCGACGGGAAGGTATGTACGCCTAGTCCGATTTTATGGAGTTTTTCAGTTATGATTTTAATATTCTTTTAGATCGTCGACAAATTTGCACTCGAAGATGTCCCGATCGACGAGGTCGGTAAGGATTCCTTGGTACCAGCGACCGCTGCTAAAAAACAATCAGTACATTGATATCCAGAAGGGTGCCATGCTCATTGGCCTGTTTGCCATTGTAGGTTTCTAAGGTCCTTGAAAGGATAAGGTCCTTTTACTTACTTCTTTCTGAATTTCTGTTTATTTCCAGTTTCTTTCGTTGTTCACTATCGCCACTAGCATCTTTGACCTTTATTGCTATGCAATGGCGGCGCCAGGATCCACACATTACGGATACTACATAATATCCTACGAGTTTGTTTATGTGGGCAACAAGCATGGTAAGGATTTCTTGAAAACCCTATAAGCTAAGTCTTATTTTATGCTTCTTCCATAGTTCGCAACATGCTGATTGTCTTTGCTCTGTTTTCGCTGATCATGGCGCTTGTTAACTTTGTGACCAGTGTCCTCCTCTGCGTGGCCTTGCGCAAGGTAAGTTTGGGTTCAGAAAGAACTGCCTATGCATGCAATTCATTTACATTTCTCATCGCCCACAAAGCAAGAAAAGCTGGGAGCACAGAAACGCTTATTGAGCAGACGGGTAACCAATACATCCTGCACTGTCATAGCCACGAAATTAGCACAAAATAAACCATTCCATTGGCAGCGATTTCTATTGTTCCAATACATAGACTAACAAATATTTAATCTTCCCTTAATCTAGGAATATGAGCGTAAAGTGATGCCCTGGCTGTGGACTTTTGCCATTTTCACAGTTTGGCGGGCTTTGGCTCTGATCTTTTTCGCCATTGTCAATGATCTGTACTTTGCCTACAATGTTATTATGGTGCTGCTGTGGAGCATTTTCTGTTTGGTATCCATATACGGCTGGGCCGTTGTCTATTCGCTGTTCCTGGAGCTGGTGGATCTCACCAAACTGGAGGATCTGGCTCATTTACGCGTAGGCTATTCTTTTTTGAATATAAAGTCATAAATTTGTTAAATATATTTGTTGTTAACCTTTTACAGATGGGTACAATGGCCTCGCTGCACGCCTCCACCGCCAACTCGCTGGCTGGATCGCGACCCACCACTCCTCACAGCACCGTCTCCACGATGCCAGTGGGCTGAAGAAAGAAGTATTTTCCGAACAAAAGAGAGCTCACAACGAAATTGCACAATCAATACCGTCCGAAAGCAGCACAACTTGAACCCGATGCTTCTCACATAAACATTCCATCCACCACTTTAGTGCCTTACTACAAATTTTATACACGATTCTGCGTAATTTAGTTTTAAGTCGTATTCCGTCCAATCTCACATGTTTTTTTACTGTTGAAGAATCTCTGCCTTTATGTATGTCGTCAACATATCGTGTTTTTTATATGCATGTATAATAATATATAGATGTACAACCCGAATTGTAGCTATGTATCTAAAATAATAAGCGACCAGAGCAATATACAAATCGAAACACAAGTCTAATGACACTTCTCTCTGGGGACCATTTTCCGGGCGTTAACCAAGACGCCCACCAATGGCAGCTATTCATCTTTCGGCCTGCGTCAGTGGAAGCATCTCTTAAAAAAGGATTGATTGGAAATTTGAACTCTTGAAGTGTTTTTTGAAGAAATAAGAGGAGGTTCCTCGTCCTAAATGGTTCAGAAAAATGAAATCTTTAAGAGTTTTGATATTAAATTGCAGTTGTAACCCCAAGGGCAACGATGGACTTCCCATCTGGATTCCCCCAACAATGCAAATATTCAAAAATAAATCAATTTTAGAAAACAATCGCCGGTGTTGTATATATGCAGTGTTCAAAGTCAGTCGTCTGGTCATTAGCACCCGAAATTATGAGCTCCGCACGGCAATCTGGGGCAGTTCAAGTACAAATCCATACATATATACCAACACCTACGAACTTGGCACAAATACAAACATCCAGAGTAGGATGAGTGGAGGCCAAACAAAGTTCAATCAACCGCTTTTGTTAATCACTCCATGGGTGACGACAACTTTGGCTATTTCGTAGGGTTGGTGCTGATGTTACTGGTGGTGGTGGTGGCTCCTTACTCCGTCTCCCTAGTCTTTGTAGATACATTTCCATGCAACGCATTCTGGTTCTCTACTCGACACTCAAGTGGGGTAATTTGAACAATTGCAATTGGAATTCAGCTGGAAAACAAGCTGCGTCATCTAGTGGCGATTCTTTTGAGTATATTGTTTGGATCTTGCCCATAGCTTGTTTCCTTATTTTTTGATTCCTGTATCTTATAGATAGTATTTAACTTATACTTTTATTTCAACTTTTGCTTGTCATGTTGCCAGAACGCAATTTGTTGCATGCGCCATTGGCTTATCCATATAAAAAATAAAAGCTACGCAGCAACAACATCCCCTTATAAGCCAGCAGGGCCGTAGCTAGCATGGGGCAGGTGGGGCGGTGCCCCAGGGCCCCCGAAGGGAAGGGGCCCCGCCGGGGCAAAAGACTTCCGTATAGGGGGCCCCAAATTTACTTGTTGCCCCAGGGCCCCCGAGGCTCTAGCTACGGCCCTGTAAGCCAGGCCAACAATAACAAAAGCGTGGAGAAGCGGAATGGGGAGTGTGGAAGTGCTGTTAGCAACGATTTCATTGTTTACTGCAGTTTCGATTTGCTTTGCTACGCATTAAAGTTCAACAAATTGCGTTGTCTCCAAGTCCTCTCCAAGTCTCCTCTCTCCATCGCACAGCTGTTGATCCCGAGAAACGGTAAACGGCCGCCGTCGTTAGTGCACCTGTCTCTGTCTCCACAGGTTGAATGCACCAAAACGAAATGGAATAAACAAATTAAATAAAACACACGAAGATAGGGGCTCCCTCCTCTTTCAGCAATTTAGAAACGATCTGCCCCATGCCGAATCTTACTCATATATGAGGTTTTATTTTCGTATGTCTCATATAAAAACAAACTACACCCATTATAAACATATGCAATGCATTCACCCTCTATTTGTGGCTCCAATTGCCAGCCAGTTCTCAATTATAAACAGTCATCAAAAGCATGACTTGCTTTTAGATGTCAAGTTATTATATTGCAACTTTTTTTATTTCAAAAAAATATTTTTAACTTACCAATACATTAAAAATAAAAGTAATTCTAACATAGATTAGCGTTTTGATAACAAGGTGAGTCTACAAATCTTAATAAGAGACAGACGCCATGATCTACGCCGTTGTAATATTTTTGTAAGGCGCACCTTGTTATCAATTACTTTTTACGCATTGTTGAGACTGCCTTCGGTTTTTGCACCCTCTCTCTTTTGCGTCGTTTTCTTTTAGAAAGGGGTCTCGGGGTAAACGGTAAACAAATGCAAATCCGTATCTTCTGATAACTCTCGTCTAATCAAAATTCACCACCCTCTGTTAAGAATAGCAGAGGCGTTCGCAGGGGGTTTAAGATGAAAAATAATAATAAAAAATGAATAAGGGGTTTTAAAAATTTTCTTCTGCGTAACTAATTACTTTTCTATTTCATTTAGTAAACATTTTTTTTTATTTTTTTTTATTTTTTCTACGCCTCTGAACTGTAACACCCCCGCTTCAAACAAACGCACTATGTTATCTTGCAGGGCGATGTACAATGTACACATTCTCACCTCAGTTGTTATTGCTGAAAACAGGAAATAATTTTCGTTTTCTATAAAAAAAAAACTGCTGGCAGCCCGTGGCATGCCTGATATTTTATTTTTATCGTTCTGCGACTTAATACTACATATCGTTTGCCTTTTGACGTCTCGTACATTTCGGGGCTTTTGTGGTTGCTGTAACCTTGCCTTAAGTTTATAAAGTTCGTTAACATTGAGGTTCTTTTATGGAAGACTTAAATTTCTAAATATTATATGTTTTATTTTATCATGGGCAGTAGGGGGTGTCAAGAGCGAAATAGGTTTGCCTTGATCGAATAATATGAAATATTGCGTACATGTATGGAAAAGTTAACGTTGATCCATTCATCCAGAGGGATTTTGGGGGAAATGCGATCCATAAAGTTGCAAATAACCAGGGTGAGCTTGGTTCTCAGCGCCGGCTTCATTTCCTTGAGCAACCGAGAATGCCACGGCCAAATCGGTCTGGCGATTATATAGTTTGATCACTAATTACGCTGCTCCTGGGCAATGGCCAGTCCCAGCATGGCGACGAGCACAATGAATCCGATTTTGTGGTTCGTCTGCATGAAAGTACAAGTAACGATATTATTGATAAGTGTTTCACTTTTGGCTAGTTTCGTAATTGATTAGCAATTACTTTATAAACTTAAGTTTATAAAGTTCGTTAACATTGTGGTTCTTTTATGGAAGACTTAAATTTCTTAATATTTTTTGTTTTTTTTATCATGGGCAGTAGGGGGTGTCAAGAGCTACATACATATGTAAGTAAATAGGATTTCCTTGATCGAATAATAAGAATTATTGCTTACATGCATGGAAAAATTATCTTATTGTTTTGATTTGAAGTATATTGTTAAATGTTTAAAATAAACTGAAATAATAATATAAATAAATAATCCGAAATTTACAGACTAAATATAAATTTTTTTTTTTTAATATATACATTTTTAGAGACCAGAAGAAACCTAAACACCCTAAGGTAGGGTGCAAGTCTGTTAATTTGAGAGAAACTCACCACGACAATTTCACAAGATGTTACTGTTAAATGTAATTATTGGAATTATGGAACACAAAGAAATTACCATATGGGTATATGAAAATTACCAACATACCAGCGATTTCGATATCAGCATACAATAGATAGTATATAAATGAATATATAATAGCGACTTTTTTTTAAATGCGCAGTTAGCAGTGATGACGCAGCGCAGCGCTCTCTGACGCTGTTATTCTCCGTCTCTTTCGACGCTCCGACGCCATTTTTCGTTTAAATGTGTGTCGTCGCCTAATTTAAAATCGGACGAGTAAACCATAAAATAGAGCTCGAGGGCCGCTGAAAATCGTGTTGTAAGCACAAACATTGGCGTTTTTGGCAGGAAATTCCGTACGGACCCCCCGTATTGGGCGCTGCATTGGTCTTATTCCCCAACCCTCTTATTGTGTGCACTTTGCACCGTCTCTGTATTCTCGGCTGTTACTTAACATTTTGGTGGATATTTCGACAATCTGCTGTCTCTCGCTTAATTTATTTCCTACTTTTGATTCCATTTTCTCTCTTTCTCTCTCTCTGTTCGTTGGCGATTTCTTTTTGAACCCTCGTCCCCCACCCCCCGTCTCAGCCAAAAACTCTTAGCAGATTTCACCACTCAGCTAACAGAGCTGGTTATCCGAACTCACCACGGGTGCAAACGAACAACGCCACGAAAATTTCTGCCTCTGCTTCGTGTAATTGTGTGCTTGGGAAGTCGTCTGCTGGTTTGAAAACTCTCGGTTGGAAACACTCGATTGGGAATTGGTAGTCTCACTTAATTTTCTGTGCTTGGAGACTTCACTTCGCGTTTGGAGGATCAGATCCACGTTTATTCCGTCAGCGACTTGCTAAATAAAAAAATAAATTAATCGACACGCGCTCCCCTCCTTCTCTCTCGCCCGCCCGCTCGTTATATTGTTCGTCGGTGTGTGTGCCGCGATTAATAATAATAAAATAAAAGGAAATTTGCCAGCGTTTCGAAGCTGGGAAATCGCAGGACGCAGCCACTGCACTGCGCGTCGTGTGTGAAGGAAAACGCCAGGTCCTGGTCCAATCCACAAACCGAATAATCGCATAAAAAAAATAAAGCCTTGGAAAAACAACTGCGTCGTGCACCATTTTGTGATATATTATTTGCCCCCTCCCTGTGCAATTCTCTAAAGTTAAAATAATTACTAGCAATTGGTTTCTGCGGAAGCCATCGACATATTTCAACAACTGTGATTCCAAACTCTGAGTTTTTGTTTCAAACTCATAAAATTTTCATGAGAAAAACGGAAAAGTAAGTGAATTATGAAAAAAAAAATTGAGGAAAAAAATAAATTATTTCATTTTCCCCTTCGCCTACGTTGCCTTTTCACCACATTGCAACTCCCCACTGTCGCTCTCCACCACGGCACCAATACACACAGCATGCCTACGTCACATGTGCGTGTGTGGTGTTTGCTCGCGAGCGTTGCCATGTCGCGCAAAGTATGAAAAATAAAGGAAAAACAAATAAATATGAGTTAGAAGAAACCTGAAACACGTACAGAACTCCCAATACCCTTCAAGATCTAAAAATATCAATAACTTTCCGTTATGTTCAGTTGTCTGAAAGGTTTTTGCCAAATCCAGCCACAGCGAAGGACGTTCGCTGCTGATAAGTGAAAATAGCTGATAGCACACCCCAACCCAAAAGATACCCTGCTATCGCATAATTTAAATAACATTTTCCGCATTATCGCGCTGACTGAATTCGTTTCTTTATCTGCACTCTACGACTTTTGCTTTTGCCTGCAGTGCGTGACTGGATTTTTTGCTTGCTCATAGTTCGAATGACTCACTCATCGTATCGTAGTACACCCGTATACTAGAGAGTATTCGGATTATCAACGGACAGTGATTCTTATCGGCAGCTGCATAGGGGCGCGCAGGTAGGGTGACAACCCTGTCTAATCGCATATGAGGGCGGCTCAGCTGATATGTCTTCTTTTATCTAAAAATTGTTGTTTTTGTTGTTTCCTTTTTTTTTGCATTTTCTTGGTGAGTCATCAAAAACAACACTCCAGCTCACCTTGTAACAATTGCTGATTTTTGCATCCCACACGTGTTGTTTTTTATTGGGGGGCTAATCGGGAGTTTTTTCTTATTTTTTGTATTATTATTTTCCTTCCCCACCGCCAACATTATCAAAGTCCGCTCTGCTTGGCACGTTTTGTGACATGCACATAGTACGTTTCCACACGTCGCCACTCACAATCATCACTTATGCTTCTGAGAATGAATACCCCGTGTAGTCGTTTTTTTTTTTTGTCAACTTTCTTGAAATTTCTGCCCGAATTTCGCCATTTTAGATTCGAATTGGCGGAGATAAGGCCGTAAGAGCGCTAATTATTTTTGATTGTCCAGGCAAACAAACATGTTTTCGAATGACTCGGAATGACTCAAAAGAGCCAAATACATAGTAGGAAACACTTGAGTACATTTTGGGCTGAAAAACGCTGAAATTGGCAGTTGATATTTGGCCCAGCAGAGAGTTCATTGCTTGGAGGGTTTTATCACGCAAGTGATTCATGAACAGTGACTACGGATACTATATGCATTCGAATGAAAAGTGATTACGAGGGAAATGTTGGAGAACTTTCCCGATTTCGAGGCATGACTAATCCAAAGTTGGCTAAAAATTCTTGGCAAGTGTCGTCGTTGCTAATTTCTAAAATTATAAAAATCTTAAACTTTTAGCTAAAACACGCATAAACACGTTTAGACAAGTTTTTTTTTTTTGTTTTGATGACTTAGGGAAACGGAATAAGTTAATAAACATAAAAATAAACAAATTGTTTTGAACATCAGACTAGCTGAGTACAGTAGGGTTCAGTATTATAGAGCTATAAATTTTATATTTAATTAAATTATAATTTTCTTTTTATAAAAATATTTAAATTTTCTTTCATAATTTTTTTAAAATAAAAAATATTTAAAAGTAAAGAAATATTTTATTGACCTCTGCTGTACTTGATAGGTTTTTCTTACGCCTTTTATTTCTCTTTACGTCTGCTTTTTATTTCCCCCTCTATTCTGTTTTTTTTTTTTTTTTTTTTTTTATATATACATATATAAACAACTGAAGCTGATAAGCGAGACGTCGCCGTCACTGCCGCCGTCTGACGTTGGACGCGTGAACGGCCGCGGCCTCATTTTCAATTTTGTTTCGGGTTTTGTTTATAGGTCGCGTGTAAATGGATGCCCACCCACCATATGGCATATGCCCACCACCCACCCCCCGCCCTGCGATCGCCCAAAAAGATCGAAGCTTTCGGGTTTTGTTCGTTTTTCGGGCCTTTTTCATTATCTTTTGTTGCCGTTTTTCGAACACATTTCTTGTGTGGAGCAGAAGAGGGCTATTTATAGTACTCCTAATCCTCTATACTTGATCTTCTTTTTTTTTTTGTCTGTTGTGTCGTTTTCTCTCTTGTCTCTTGTCTCTTTTTAAGTTATGCAATTTTTTTTGTTGTCGCTCGTGTGAGCTCCATTCATACAATGTGTACTGGGGGAGAGACTGTACCTCGTCGATATCATTGAAAATGTTTGGGATTAAATATGCACATTGTATATCAATTGAACCTTTATCGAATTTCGGAAAAAACCAGACAATTATCTTGATAGAATGCGGGCGTAGATCCAAGAAAGTGAATATGGAAATTAATGGATCACTAACAGGACTCATCAATCACTTCAATTGCCGATGCATATCTTTATCTAATTCTGAAGAAATCTTGTATACATAACAAAATAGTACCCTACACCCTATATATACAAATTCTTTCCCGTGATCAGCATTTTTTTGTTTATTTTTTTTTGGCAGAAAAACAAACGAAAAAAGCCTAATAAATAAAATGACTTTATATTTGGGTCAAAATAATAATTATTTTTCCTTTAATTTATTTTAGTTTAGGGGTAAATCCTTGATTATATTTTATTGCAAAAAATGCTTAAAATTTAATATCATTTTAATTTCCTGGCTCGACTGCCAGTCGTTGTGGTGTTATGAGGAAACCACAAAAACGAATAAACAAGAAAATAAATACAAAAAAAATAAAAAAAACAGACATATAATCGAACCACAAAGAAAGAAAAGACAAAAAAAATAAAAGCCACCAACTGGCTCACCTTGTGGTCGAGCCACAAATTTTCTTTCCAACATCGATTTTCCCATTGCGACGACTACTACTAACCTTTCCTCGCATTCCTCTGCTTTTCCCAACAAACATTTCCCAACATTTGTTATCTGTTCCTCCTGGCTTGTAGTTTTTATTTTCAATTTTCTCCAATTTTCTGTACAGGTTTCTTGTTTTTGTTGTTGTGGGAATCGATTTAGGCGCTCGATTGGGCTTGGGATTACCCCAACCACCCACGTATTAAAGTTGTGCCTCGAAAAAGAAAAGCTTTTGAATCGAAGAGTTTAAAGCAGTTTTTAATAAAAAAAAATTGAAACTTGTTCTTAATATCAGGCTTATGAATAAATTTTTTTTTTAAATATATAAATATATTTATAAGCTTAAGAACTTGCTTTATTTTATTTATTATTTCCCATCTAAGCCTTAGCACTGGTAGAAGGCGTCTTTGCCTGTGGCGCGCATATTCACCACATCTGGCAACCATGGCGACCGTGCCGTGCCGTTAACTTGCCCGCCCCCCTCAGCACCGTTAGCCAGACAAAATGAAAAGCGAAACTTTTGCCTGGCCCAGCCTTTTCTTTTGTGTTTCCTTTGGCGGCTGCTGCTGTGGCTGTGGCTGCCTCGCCCTGTTCGCGAGGATTGACTTCTTTGTCTTCTCGTCTTCAGTGGACGGTTCAGTTCATTGCCTTTCCTGGCAGAAGAAAGCCAACAGGAGAAGAGATGCAGCCAAGAAAGGAAAGCACCACCGACCGAATATTGTTGTAATGCATAAATCAATAAAATCAACGATACGATGCCACCGCCCAAAACAAAGTCATCATCTTCGACTTGACTCTGACTCAGAAGCTACATCTCGTCGAGAAATATTCTCTCAGTCTCGGTTTCCCCCCAACTGGCAAAGTTCAAGCGCCAACGGCAAAGTTCAATAGCACAAAATGGCAGTTAAAACAGTGAAAACTCTCTACAATTAATATGGCTATATGATGTGATATGATGACTAACCTAACAGAAGCTTCACTGTATGTAGATCCATCGCCATCTGAAGGCTTCCGCATCTGTCATTGTTGTGCTTTTGTTTTCGCATTTTCCGTCAGTCTGTCTCTGTCTGTCATGTCAGTCTGGCAGTCATTCAAATGACCACAGTCCTCTACAGTCAAGACCTGAAAAGCAGTGTCTTTGAACGGCCTTCGGTTTGAATTCTACACTTCAAGCCACAATCCGAGATCTCTCTTCAGAGGCACTTCTTTTTGTCTCGCATATCTCTTGGCGTATTTTTGTTTGTTTTGCTCCTTTGTGCACTTACTTTTTTTTTTTTTGTGAATTCTATAAAAACTGGTTTCTTTTCGGCAAAAAGATTGTTGTACGAACTTCACACAACGAGGCAGAGACTGAGACAGAGCCAGAGGCAGAGGCTCCAAGTGCCCGAGTGCCGTGGTGTGTCTGCTTCAGTGATTTGATTAGCCCATAAAGCCGCGACTTCGAGGTACAGTGAACAACACACTTGGAGTTCAGGTTTTGTGTTTACTAATTCGCTCATTTGTTTCGTCATTTATTCTCACTGCTGCGCTTGCACAACACATCCGCACCCATTTTCCTGTGGTATGGTAGTGATTTTGGCCCGCATTTTCACACTATAACAGTAATTAGTAGAACAATGGCTAACATTCAAGGGATTTATTTGGAAATTATGTTTATTTAAATATATTGTTGGGTATATCCTTGGTTTTAAGTCTTTATATGAGGGTTCTTCTGATATTATTCAAATAATATATACTCCCCGCCTCCTTAATTTCCATCTTATATTTCCCAGTCTCTTTCATTTTATGAGGGACCCCCTGCAGTGAGTCTGGCGCCCCCCATAGGAGGATCTTTTAGGATTATTAAATAAAAAACTACCCGAAATTTCTCTTAATGTATCCCCACTGTATGGAATATCCCACCAAGAGAGAGAGCGAGAGCGAGCCATAGCTACTCATGTGGAGACGAACTTGCTCATCTGGAGAGTTTCATATTTCATTTTCCCATGCGATTTTCATTAATCTTCAAGTGCGTGCGTATGAGTGTGAACTGAGAGAAGACCAACAATAACAAAAAAACTACTTTATAACAATTCAGGGATTAG